GGCCTTGTGGTGGATTGGACAGAGTACACTTAGGTTCCAATCGCCGGGCATGTTGATGCATGCACCTTGTCAGCTCTTCACCGCCATGTTTGAATAGTTCTGCCGGTAGGCTGTCAGCCCCGCCGCTTTGTGGTTTTTTAAGCGGGCGATAGCTATTCGAACTTCTCCATGGTCAGGTAATGGTGCGCCTTTTCCATCGTCATCGATTGGGGTTTCGGTTTCACCATTTCCGGATTCTCTATTTTTACTACTTATCAGCAGGTTGGAGAAGTGTACCCTCCATTAATTCAATATACTCTAGGCAACGGAGGCTAGATCACCTCTTTGTGTCCTACAAGAGTCTGATCCGGTCTTGAAACCTTCCGTAGGTCGTCGTATGTTCTCATAGAATTTCCGAGCATTTCTCTTATCGGCCAGCTTCCACTTAATCCCTCGGTATCTATGCCAACCCGCACATGTTGTGGTCGATCGCAAGGTTGTGAGGTAGGCAGTCTGTTTTCTCTTCACTGCGACACGACAGTTCTCATCGTACCAGCTGTTTTAAGAAATCCTATAGTTTCGTCTGCAGCTGTACGTAGGGAGTTTGGGATGCCGTCCCACAGATCCCGTATATCGAGTTGCTGATGAGTGCTCTTAGAGAGCAGCAGTGCAAGTCGAGTATAAAATCGCTCGGCAGTCTGTTGTGATTGCACCTTTGGACGTCGTTGGGCTTGTTGACGGATGTGATTTGATACACAGAGGCGCATGCCTGTCTTCACTGTAACAATACACTGATCCGAGTCGATGTTGGGTCGTCGGAGTGTGCACACGTCGAGAACACTGGAGACATGTCTTCCTCTAATCACAGCAGAATCGATCTGGTTTTATGTTTTTCGATCAGGGGACAGCCAAGTGGCTTGCTGGATTTTTTTTTGTGCTGGAATCTAGTACTACAGACAATCAAAATAAGTGTGCCACTATTGGTGTTCCTTTAAAAAATATTTTAAAATACTCTTGTCGCTTGCGATTAAAATAATTTTTTTGTTACCAAAAATTACAAATTTTTTTTTTCCAAAAAATTACAAAATTTGCATTTCCACTAAAACAAAGTCATTCTGAATATATATGCAAATATACATATTTATACATATATTTATACATATATTATCTATATAAGATAAGAGGTGATATGCAAATATAACATATGAGTCCAAACTTACACATACCCATACATTCACACCCATTTGCATATATATATAAATTGTGTCAAAAAAACTTAAGCAACCTTAACGAGATAAGGACAGGAACGGCAATTTACGAACCGGCATACCAATAGATAATAGTGGTTAATCGCTGCATTAAACATTTTACCAAAAACGAAAAAGGTGTTTTTATATCGTACGCACAACTGTTCACATATACATATGTGATAAATACACAAAAGCTCACTTTCCGCCTTATCTCTTGGCGGTATTATTTGAGAGTAAAAAAGAACAAAAAAACTTTGTTTTGTTTCCGATAAATCTGAGATTTCTGTTTTTACGTAACAGGCATAGAAATTCGAAAAATGATATAAAATTATTTATTTTACGCTTATTAATCACCATGTTCGTATTACAATACAAAAAAGAGGTGTTATTAACTGATAATTTTTATCGTTACCTCAATTACACCGATTTTGATTCGAAATAGTTCGAATATTCTGATTGGTCGGGAGCGATTTTTTTTTTTTAATTTATTTTCTTTCTACTGCAATTAAACTTTGCTACCAATTTGTAATAAAAACTGCTCAAATCAAAGTACATTTACAATCGCCATATACAGCTTAAAGCACTTGAAATTCACTTTAAGAGACCGTTAAATTAATAGAAATAATTTCTGTGGTGTTCCACGCTTTGGTTGTCAACGTTGGTATTGAACTTACGAGGAGATAAAGCAAGTTTAAAGCAAACCTTTTATAATAAATGCTTTTATTGATTTACAACTAAAGATTTGGTTTTAGTTAATTGCTGTTCAACTTTATTTGCCTTTTAGACGGTTAAACCTGAAACAAAGTGGACACTTCACGATTGTTTCCCATGATTTCCGTGAAATATACACGGACGGGTCAAAGCTTGAGGGGAGAGTTGGCGGAGATGTGTTATGCAATCAGGGAGGCTGCAAAGCGAATTTGGAGCCAACTTCAAAAATATATATATCTTCATTTTCAGCGATAGTCAAACAGCAATAAAAACACTGGGCTCGCCGATCTCTACAGGAGATGGCCAAACAGATTAGACTGTCTCTCATATGGGTCCCTGGTCACAGGGATATCAAGGGAAACGGTAATGCGGATAAACTTGCTAGGCAGGGTACGACCAAGCAGATTCTTTCCGATAGAGAGAACGCATTGGTATGCCTATTGCTACATGCAAACTGCTTCTAAAGGAATTCATTTACGGACAAGCCACTACAAAGTGGAATTACTTTACAACCTGCCGTAGAACCAGAAATATTTATGTACTCCTTAAAGAGAGGTGACATGCCTAAAATTATATAAGACTAGGGGCTTCCTACAGAAGATGCTGCAGTAGCTGCATGGAGGATGAAGAGGAGGAAACTTTCAACCATCCCTTATGCGACTGACCTACACTAAGCAGGGTGAGGTTTTGGGACCTTACTGCGACATGGTCTATCGAAGATAGTTGACGTCAAAGTCAAAGTAATGAGATTCATGAGAGAATCTAAATGGATTCAGGATGATGCCTGATGGTTTAAGTGTTTGTGGTATCAAAATGGGTCTAAGTCAGGCCTAAGTGAATCCGGTCTGTTAGAACAGTAGAAACCGCAACCTAGCCTAACTTAAATATCAATATGAAGTTTATGGGAAGGCGTCAAATTGGATAGGGAAAAAAATCGCTGGGACTACTAACTTCTTTTTATATCTACATGTATAATTTATTTGACGGTAAGATTTTTTCAGCCCTAACAATGCAAAATAATTATTTAAAATCTAATAATACAGTGTTTTTAGTTGGCGTTGTTTAGAGATGAAGAGATAAATACCAGTCTAAGTCGGGACGTATATTTTCTACCACATAAAATCAGATGTCAAAGGAAAATTAGTGATAAGATTATACAGTGAAGCGAAGTGACTGGGCTAACAATGGGGCTAATAAATGGATATCATTAACCGAACCTTATCCTAGCATATAAAATAAAAAAAAAAATTTTAACTTAAAATTTATATAAAATTATAACCACATATTTAATATGTGGTAGCTACTACTTTACTGCTAGAAGGAAATAAGCTGCACACAAGTTGAAGGATAATGCTGACTAAAAATCGACACAGACGAGACAATTAGACATATTTTGGTGTTTTTATTGTTTTTTTTTGTGCAATTAACTATACGTAGTTCAATTAATTCAGTTTCTCCTCACCGAGAGCCAATTATTGCCACAATTTAATTTTTATTTTTTTTTATTCATTTCCTATCATCAATTTCATATACATATATACATATGTCTAATTTTATACAGCCTGAAAGTGCACAATAAAGTTCCCCTATAGTACACTTGTACATATATGCATGTGTGTATGTATGTGTATATATAGGAATACAGGTATGTTGGTATGGGAGGAGAAGAGCAATAAAGACCATTGTGAAACTGAAAATTGTTTAATTTTACAAAGTCAATTAAAGTGAACTGCGAGCAATTGTATAAATGTAGGAATGTATTTGACAGTATTCACACCAGTATTGGTAGATGTACATAGATATATACATACATACATACATATAAATAAGGTCAGTTAATACCTTACCTATCACTTTTTATTTTTTTACAATTTAGCTAGAAATCATCGAGTATGTATAAGTTCATATTCACATATACGAATATACATTCATACATACATATATACAAATAAAAAAGCACTTATGTAATTAAGTATAGACTCATCGATTTAATAATGTCATTCTCTTTGCGAAATTCCCTCATTCACCCACTCGAATTGTAAATTCTTTTTTGAAAAACGCAAAATGTAGCAACTCAGTATCCGAGTGATGGTGAACGCTAACTTGTATGTAATAAATACAATACATATTATATACTTCCTACTGAGGTAAGCAAGAAGGAGCTAACATCAAAATTTTAATTTTAAAAGTTTGCTAACATATTTTTCCAAATATTCGCTAGTGTAGTCACTGCAGTTTAAAAAAAATACTTCTATTTTATAGTTAGGCCATTTTCGTTATGCAAAAAGTAGGTAACTTCAATTTTTATTTTTTTATTTTTTTTTTTAATTTCTCGCCAGTATAGTCAGTGCTTGTTAGCGGAAAAAATAATTGGTTTTTTAGTTAGGCAATTTTAAAATTGAATAAACAATTCGCTTATGTGTTTATTTCTTAAAAAATTTTTAGAATTTTTTTTGTTGAAAAAAATCGAAAAAATTGTTTGAGCTCTTTCTGCAAATTCATCAACAATATACATACATAAGTACGTATATACATATATATGTATATTTATTTCTTTCTTTAAATTTTTTGTAAACAAAGGAACACTTGCTTAGAAATTCTTCTTTTGAGCTTCGTTCAAATCGAGTTTTAAATTCACTTTTTCACAGACATACATACATTACTTGTGTATATAGTATGTGCATGCGTACATTTATATACTTATCAACAAATCTGTGTAAATAAACCATTGTCATGACGACCGCCGTTACCGCCGTAGAATTTTTAATTCAATTTAATAATATTTAATTCCGCAGTGACAATACATTTAAGTGTATATATATATATTATATTTGTACAGTAATTTTGTAAGAAAATAATTTATATTTTTTTGCCAGTATGTTGTTAAAAAAGAAATACATATATAATTTTCAAAATTTTTTTTTGGTTTAATTTTTAAATATCCATTTTTCAATTGTATTAGAAAGGGTTTTAATTTTTAATTCATTTCCGTTTGGTTTACACAAAAAAAATAATAATGAAAATAACAATTTTTCCATGAAGCTCAACATATATATTTACCATTTATGCTCGAGTAACTGCCAAGCCGTATCTAGAATATTTTTGTTTATTTCTGCTCTTTGGAAACGCTGCTGCTTTTCATAATCCGAAATATTGCGAATTTTATATTTGTTTTAAATTTATTTGATATTGAGGTGCAAGAGCTTTACACACAAATGCTCTATATAATATTTTTAAATTTTGCTTTTTCAACACACACTAGTACACAACACTGCAAATAAGTTTATTTACAATATATGTATGTAAACTTTTTTTTCGAATTGAGGATTTACACTTTTGGGTATTTAATTTTTTTCTGCTGTTTAACTTCTGCTGCTGCAAAATGTATATTTTAATGCTCAGAATTTTTGAAAATGCAGAAAAATGTTCACGAAAATTCTTTTTGTCCTTTTGTTGTCTATCTATCACAATATGCACGAAATTTTTTTAAGCTTGGCTTAATTTTTCTTCTCTTTGGTATTAATGTTTTTTTTTTTTTATAAATTTTATGCTGTTTTCATTTAAACTTTTCAAGGGTTTGATGATGATATTTGTATGTGTGTATGTGTGTAATATTATTAATTTATTATATACATTAAATTATGGAATTGTTGAAAACTGAAAATAAAGAAAATTAAAAATATAAATTAATTTCGTTTATATTAAAAAATTTTAGTTTCAAATTTTTCGGTTGAGCAACATAAATTTGTGCTGTGTCTCCTATTAAGAGCTTTGTACTTCAGTTCAGTATTTTTGCTGATTTTAACAAATCCATTTTTGCATTATTCTTATGTATTTGGCCGCATTGAAATTGTTTTTATTTTTTAGTTTAATTTTTATTTTGTATTATTCATATATTTTTGCATAATTAAAAATTTAGAAATTTTTTTATATAATAATTTTGTATATATATATTTATAGTTATATGAATTTACACATAAATCACACCAAATTATGCTTAATATTTTGTTAGTGTTCATGAAAAAAAAAACAATATTTTTGGCAATCAACACAACTACCAGAAAACCATTTTTTAGTTTTATTATTTATGAGTGCATACATTTACTACCACATAGTGGTTGAGGGGCTTAGCCGAATTATGGTAACCGGTTCTTGCAAAACGACAAGTGATTAATTACTAATTGATTGGCGTACGGAAACTGGTTAACCATTTGCTACCGCATTATTTGGCTAAAATAAAAAAACTGAGAAGAAAGAATAAAAAAAAAAAAAAACAATAAATAAATAAATATAAATGTCAATGAACATAACAATAAACATACATACGTGTATATGCATGCTACTTTTTTTTGTTTTTATTTTTTTTTTAATATTTTTTCGCTTATTTTATATAATACTTATAAAACAACAACTACTACAACATTTGAGAAACAATAAAAAGCTACTAGTATACCGCAAGGAAACCCTACAAATACAAACATATACAATACATATATAAACGCATATTTCTATGATTAAAACAATGCATAACTTCAGCATACAAGTGTGCGTACATATATATGTACATATGTATATTTCTTTGAAAGTAAAAGTGTCAAATTTGCCAAGAACTCAAATTACGTGCGCTAATTTTTTTATTAGATAAACATTGAGGTAAACAAATAAAAAAATATAAAACACAAATATACATATATAAATAAGTTTATAGATGAATATGTAATGGTGTCGAAACAGAGCGTTAGAGGCGACGCGCGTGGAATTAAAAACTGAAGAAAAAGAAATTCAAAAATTTTACTTTTATTTATTTTTACGAATTAAATTGAATTATTTATATGCGTATATGCAGATGCTTATATACGTATGTATGTGTAAAGCTAAATATGCATCTTTTTTTATTAATTTTTTTTTTTTGAAAAATTTGACTGCTAAAATTATATTTTAACTTTTTTATATTTTGTAAATATATTAAACTTTTAATTATTATAAAATAAATATATATTTATATACATATACATGGATTATTTTAATACAAAAATAACAAAAATGTTAAATTATAAATCAATAAAGATAAATTTGGCACAATATAGTGCGAAAAAGGTTTGGGGGAGAGTGTAATTAGCACTGAGAAAACACTGAGAAGAAAGCTCAACATAATACGAAATTAGCTTATATCCTCAAAATCATTATTATTATTTTTGCCACTTCAGCTAAATCGATACTAAATTTACCAACTGAGCTTTTTGTTAGCTTTTCTACTACAGTTTACTGACTGATTTGACTTTTTGCACTTTTTACTAAATTAATTAATTTAAAAGTACTGAAAAGTCTTTTTATATAGTCTATTTATATTAACAGTTTTTTTTTGAAAATAAACAATATTTCAGCTTTAACTTTTCGGATTTTTTAACTGTTTTTAAACTAAGTTTATGATAGAAAAGCATTTGAAGACTTTTTTCAAGAGTTTATTTAGCTTTTTGTGCTTTTTAAAACTTAAAAAAATTTTCCAAACTTCAAATAAGACATAAATAGTTATATTTTTGAATTTCAAGACTAAATAATTCACGAACTTAGCTTTTTTTTACCGGCTTGCTTTACTTTTTTATTAAAAAAAAGTGTAAAATTTAATACACAAAAACAAATTAATAACTCTTAAAGCTTTCTAGCTTTACAGCTTTAATTGGTAATAATAAGGAAAGGCTGCTCTAAACTTTATTCCACAGTTAATTAAGCTTTCTGTACATTTTGTTAATTTATTTATTTTAAAAATTATTGAAAGCACAAAATGTAAAGTAAACTTTCCTTTCGGTATTAAGAATAAATTTAATAGCTGACTGGTTCCATAAGCTTAAGATTTTTGTGCCTTTTTGTTTGAATAATTTACTTGAAATCGGGTACGAACTTATGCACTCATCCAATAAAAATTTTAATACTTTTGAAAGTTTTATTAAATTTTTAATTTTAAATCTTTTCATTTTTTAAATTTTTATAATTTTCACTTTCCAATATATAAGATCAAATTTTTTTACAAAAAAATATTTTATATTTATTGTATATATATACATATACAGAGAATTTAATCTAACTTTCTTGAAAACTTCTTGTTTCAGTTTTTAATTGCTTTTTTCAAAAATCTAATGACTAATTTTCAAAAAGTATACACTCGAAATAATTAAAAAATTATTTTAATGTTTCCCATATCACATTTATATACATGTGTATGTATTTCAGAGCCTTTTCTTCCAAACCATTGTGCTCAATTCCATTGTTTACGTTTCAATATTGCAAAATTGGAAGCAAAAAAGTCCAACACAAATACCGTACTTTCCAATTCCGACTTGAATGAAAATTTACACGCGGCTTCAAACATTTTAATGCTATCTTTATTAATTTACCGTTACACAAATGCAGTCATTTACACAATAACAACAGCAGTGATGCTTCAGCAAATCTATTTCTACTACTGCGGCATGGCCGCCAAAGAAAGAGTTTGCAATATACTCCCATATACATACATACATATACATATACACCCATACTCGCTGGCACGCAGCTGTAATTTTCGCCACTGCAGAGATAAACTTTTTCCTTAGTCAACTTTGAACTTTTCTTGTTTTGGCATTTTCACGTGAAAATCAAATGAACTAAATTACCACAAAAGTTCTCGGTTGGATGAAAGACCAAAACAACTATTAAAGAATTTTCCGACAAGTAAATGAAAGAGATGAAAGGCATGAATGAATGAAAGGTTAGGCGAACAAAAGAGCAAAAATAAAAAAAAAATGAGAAATACAAAAAGGGGGAAAGAATACCGAAAACCGCGCCAACAGTTGGAAAATATTTTATTTCCGCTATTATATAGCCGACCAGCTGTTTGTTGTTGTTATTATTGTTTTTTGTTTTTTTTTTTAGTTTTTAATACTTTAGTCAGATATACAAAATTAAAGCCAAGTTCGCCAGCATAACAACCACAAACCGTAGCCATTAAGCGGCATGGGAGTTAGCCAGCTGGTCGCTAGGACCAGCGGTCACTGTGTTGCTCTGCCGCTTGTTTCTTTCTCCAACCTTCTACCACTTCTTATTACGGGTAGGTAATTCTTTGACTGCCTTGTTGTTTTTGGCATTTTGTTTATGTCGACTTGATACTCGGTGGCTTCGTTTCGTTGGCAGCTGTTGGATTGACTGTTAGCGGCTGTCACTCTGTTTTGCCAAGGCTCGTTTAGTATTTTGCCCTGTTGACTTGTTGGCGGGCATTATACATGCATACGTACATGTGTTTGTGTGTGCAAATGTATATACAAATGTACATAAATGCGTATACACCTGTATTTGCTGAAGCAAAAAATTATTTCAGTATTTTAAACTCTTCATTTTCTTACAAGTCATGTTGGTACCTTTAGGTGCTGGTCTTAGCGGCTTCTTGCTGGCTGGCAAGGTGGTGTCTAAGCTTTAGTTTTTTACTTTACTGTATAATATAACTTAGTATTCTTTATTCTAGTTTAATTATTTCTTATTTCTGTTTATTTTATTTGTTGTACTGAAAAATATTGTCGGTTTCGCTCTTTCATCCTGAGATGTAGCGTTCGAAAGAGCGCTTAAGTTAACTTTTGGTCGATTTTGTTTATATATTGCTTGATTTACTGTTTCACAGAATCCTTTTCATAAAAACTCGACTTTCGAAATTTAATTTCTCATAATCTTTTTTAAATATGCATCGTTAATTGTATGCTCGTATAGTCAAGAACAGCTGGCTCTTCACTTACATATATCAAACATATACACATGTATGTATGTATATATATTTTCAAATTTCTCTTGCTCTTATTCTTAGCTGAATTTCATAACTTTTGTGACAGCTGCATGACCGGTAAGTTAAAAATATTAAAAGATTATTGATAAGATCGCAAGAACTGATAGCACTTGATAAAGTAGCTCAGGATTCATGCCTAAAAACATATGAATACTCAAAGCATTTGTTTATATATAAATTTAAATTTCAGGAGAAGTTAGAGTTTTACTCTAGTTAGTTTTCAGCAATTAAGATGAAGTCGGGTGTAAAGGTAAAAGTAGCCGCTCTACAAAGGTTCTTGACGTTTATTTTATTTTATTTTATTTTATTTTATTTTATTTTATTTTATTTTATTTTATTTTATTTTATTTTATTTTATTTTATTTTATTTTATTTTATTTTATTTTATTTTATTTTATTTTATTTTATTTTATTTTATTTTATTTTATTTTATTTTATTTTATTTTATTTTATTTTATTTTATTTTATTTTATTTTATTTTATTTTATTTTATTTTATTTTATTTTATTTTATTTTATTTTATTTTATTTTATTTTATTTTATTTTATTTTATTTTATTTTATTTTATTTTATTTTATTTTATTTTATTTTATTTTATTTTATTTTATTTTATTTTATTTTATTTTATTTTATTTTATTTTATTTTATTTTATTTTATTTTATTTTATTTTATTTTATTTTATTTTATTTTATTTTATTTTATTTTATTTTATTTTATTTTATTTTATTTTATTTTATTTTATTTTATTTTATTTTATTTTATTTTATTTTATTTTATTTTATTTTATTTTATTTTATTTTATTTTATTTTATTTTATTTTATTTTATTTTATTTTATTTTATTTTATTT